GAATAAAATATATGATAAATGGATTCCCTATGGAATAGTTTATATCAAAAGGTGGGTCCCCGAGTTCCCGGCTACCAATTGGCATCTTTACTAAGTTGGGTCGGAGTTTTCCAGATTTATCACTTATCCTGTCGTGTACAAGTTTTCTGCCAAGGCCTCTAAAGGAAGCACTTGCGGTTTTTTTTTCAAGCTGACAATTCTTGTGATTGAGCCTTAAGTACACATACATTTTTAGCTTCTAACAGAGGCGTGTCTTTTCCTGTAAATAACTGACCTTAATCCTATTGCTTGTTTCTCCACATGAGAACTATTTGTACAGTGGCAAGTAACAGAGAGTGGTTATTTCATCTTGCTGCACAAATGACGTATTCAGTTGCAACCTGTAATAGATTTTACAATTTAAATGATCAAAGTGTTCCTTACAAAGCTCAAACTCAGACTTATGACAGTGAGGCCAAGGAAAGGGAGTAAGATGATATTTATGATGACTACAACACTAAGTTTTACTGCACAATGATGGAGGATGTCGGAACTTTATCAAACAATTTGGATGATTTCTTGGACTTAGTACCTGATGACATTAGATAGTGATATTTATAGGATACTGTGTGAATACAAAAATGTGGAATTGACTTCAGGTTTTACACATGTAAAACAATTTCCCTTCGTTTGTTACCCGGGTAACCGATCGTTACAATCGAATGGTCAACCAATAGAAATGTTTTGAAATTTAACAGCTTTACCACTTAGAAAACTTGAAGAAAACAAATCTCTTTTTCTCTCTCCCTCTCTCTCTCTCTCTCTCTCTCTCTCTCTCTCTCTCTCTCTCTCTCTCTCTCTCTCTCTCTCTCTCTCTCTCTCTCTCTCTCTCTCTCTCTCTCCTGGTTCATAGTTTCATGGATAGATCATGTACAATCATAAAGTCTGAATCATTATGCATTCATCAAACATACAAGGAACTGTTGACACATTAGTACAAAGCTGATTATGGAAGACGTCATCGCCTTTCATCTTAATTTTCATCGGAATTCGAAATTTGATTCATTTAGGACTTTTCTCTGATAGGACTTCTATTTCTTTTAATTATTGGATTAGTTTTGGATATGATTCGTAAAACTCTAAGTTGTTTTTCTCATTTTCACCTTTGTTTTCTAGGGAAATAAATTATTTGTTAAATGTTACAAAGCTTGTTGTCTTCACTCTTTTCTTGTTACTTTTGTACGAGCCTAGACATGTAACATTTTACGCTAACTTTTTGTCTTGTCTCAAAGGTATTGCAGCACTAATCAGGGACGAATCAGGCCAGACGTTGAGGGCCCTGACCTTCCTTGAAAGGGCACCAAACCAAACGTCTTTATGTCTTTTTAGTCGAAGTGTGCATAGTACCCAAAGTGCATATCCTCCCAGATACAAACAGCAGCGCTGCATGTACTCCCACCAAATAAACCCTACCCAGACCGCACGATCGTCCATATAACTGAAATAAGCCGGGCACTGCCAACCTTACCCGCGAATACCAAGACAACATATCGGAAGGCAAAAACCCAGACAATAACATCATACCGCTACCAACCCAACCCCGCCAAAACTTAAACAAACTTTCAATCGCCAACATGAAAAGATGAAAAGATGATAAAATCAAACTCTCAATCCTTAATTACGAAGTTGCCCGGTCAGCGCACACCCGCACAAATCTAATAATAAACACCAAAAGTAAGGGACAGCCGAGGTAGCCCAAAGTAATGCCCCACAAGTCCTGTTCCACCCAACATCAAACAAGCGAGTGCGCATGGTCGCGGCCAAGACTCCCTACACCTACACAATAACCACACCCCATATAATTTATAATTATAACAGGAAATATTTCCCACCCATAACTTTCAAATACTCGCCATCAAGTAAAGGGCAGCTAGACAACAATACCTGATGCCCCACAAACCCTGTACACACTTCCTGTAAATAAAAAATACAACCCTCAAATCAAGAGGCAGGAACAGCGGCAAGTCTAACTACCCCATAACATCCCTTCGGAAAACAAAAGGAGCCTCCCACTAATCAAATTAAAATAAGGGACGGTACAGGCGGCTCTGCCTCCCACCCCATAAGGAGAAAAAGGGCTAAAACTAGATCCCTCTTAGGAACAAAGGGCTCACATTTGAGCTACAACTTCGGGTCTTTTTGGCACACAAGACCCTTTTGGTTTGCCCTTATTCCACCCTGACCCATTAGTTCTGCCGTCAACATTCTCACCTAACTGCATGAAGTGGTAGACACATCCCCACAAGCATTAGAACATCATTATAACCTGATAAGTACACTTTTTACACAAAATTCAAACTCTCTAATAACACACCTCTACAAAATTCGATAACTCATATACTAGACTACATTACACAGGTGGCTTACACAACATTGGAACTAGGTTTGTCCGCTAGCATAACTGGACAGAATTTGATCATCAAGCCGCCCTAGCGTATACGACACATCCGACAGGATCACCACCAGATAATCTGTAGACGTTGTTAACGGACAAAGAGCTTCAACGAGGATGCTCACCAATAGGAATCCAGGCAGGGACCCAGAGCTATATGGAGGATGCGGAGGCTATCCCCCATCACTGCCAAGTCATTTTCCTCCCTTTTCTCAGCTTGCCATGTTCTGCTGAATGCTGTGGGAATACAACAAGGTTAAATGTGAAGTCCCAGCACTAGGGATAAAGATTCAGCACCAGGGTTAAGTGCCTCCTTGGAAGAACAATGTCGCTCCACGAGAGCGACATCCAGCCAGAGCAGTGTGCTTTCCAAATGAAGTCATCGACCAGCCCAGGGCAAGGAGAGCACCCGGCAGGGCTTCTGGTCCAGCCAAGGACTATAACCAGTCGTTAAGCACTCGGTGCAAATGCGACTATAATGTTTGTATTAGTAGTAGTAGACATGTAAGATTATGTCCCATCCAGTCACATGATCCTGACACCAGACAGACAAGTGCTAACACTAACCTCCTAATGCTGAGCACCAATTGAAGCAGCTGTTAAATCAATTTTTAAAAGTCGTTGGTATGATTATGCCTTATTACACGATGAATATTTAACAATACAAACATATTACAAGGGCATCTTTAGCCTTTCAATACAAATTCTACAAAGTTTGGAAACAAAGATTCGTAATGGCAGATCTTGTATGATAAAGTACTCAAAAATAAATTTTAAAGATTAGATAATATGATTTTAAATGCAAAAAGAAAGGAAATGAAAGCAAGATATAAATTTCATCTTTTCAACTTTGAACGTATCTTGTACATATACCAATTTGTGCGTCCCTAGTTACGAAAAATGGAAAAGTTTAATGTTGATCTTTAGGCAGACTTCGCTATATGTTTTTTTTCAGTTAAATTTTTACACTGAAATTCGAGAGTTTTAAATGCAAACATTTGCAATGTACATTGGTAAACATAGTACAAAAGAAATACAGGTCTTAGTTTGAACTGGTTTTCGAATGTGCTCATTGAACTCTGTAGTGTTTGACAGTTAAAGAACAAAGTACCATCCTGCAGACTGTGCACACAGTTTTCAATCTTCTCAATTTGAATGGAATTTCTGTTTATCTTCTTCGTCAATCTGTGACATTCATCGTGCACAGATTTTTATCGATCCGTTTACTTTTTAATGGGGGGTCATATCGATCATGTGATAAACAACGATATTCTGTCTAACTCAGAAATATGATATAATATGACAGAAATATAATGATACTAGTCAGAGTAAAAAATGAATCTTATCTTCAAATTGTATAACGTGTTAGTAGACCGATTTTATCAGGTAGGTCTGTTAATAACAGGAGGGCTACATTCCTACTTCAAAAGAGATTATATGAGAACCTTGGACGTTGGTTGTGCAATAACTCTTTTAACATGCAGTAGAAGTTAATTGCAAGTACGTACTTGTCAACCTCAATCTATTCTTTCAGGGACTGTCAAATCCTGCTGTATCTACAGCATTTACGTTTACGGGGCACTGGATTATTTCACTGTTATATACTATAGATATATTCATTTTAGCATATGCCACACAGGAGATAAAGGGGGTTTCTTGTGCGAAATAGACATCACTTCCATCTTTCCGAAAACCGTGCAAGTGACGCTGTTTTATATAGGAACAGTGTAACAGTTATTTGATCTTCATTAAAAATTCAAAAAAAAAAAATAAAACACCGAAAGATGACGAAGGCAGATAATAACAAATCTCACATGAGAAACTTCGCAATTATAGATCTATAAATAGGTTGATGTCCTTTTACATGGGGCAGGAAAACGAAATTAGGAACAAATATATATTCCATCTGCCCACATTAGATACATGGCTTGTATGACTTGTATATAAAGGTGTTTCCCACAAGAACCATAAAATTACTTAAGCTGAAAGCGATTGCAAGTTTACCTTTATTTTTTTTTTCTCTCAAAGAATAATAAATACATTAATTTATATACTGTTTGTATGTATAAGGGGGAGTAGAGGCTGACCTGTGTGACGATGTGTGACAATATGTTATGTGGTAAATTGAAAATGTGCCGTCATAAAAACACCAGCGCCATCTACTAGAGAAAATTTAAACTACATAGCACTGCAGTAATGCTATAGGAGGAAGGGAACATTGAGAAATAAACTTATGAGAGGAAATGTCTAAAATTGTATTCCTTGGATGATTAATTTCTTTAGTATATTTTCCAGAGGACTAAACCTGGATTTAAGTTTCAAATAATTAAGAATTCACTCTTGTGTTGTTGTGCCTTTTGTATGCAAAAGTGATTTCAAATTTAGAATATTTTTATGACGAAACGTGAGGAGGGGATAAGGGGTAAAAATTTACCAATACATAGATGGCCTCCAACAGGTTTTGATCACAAAGAAGTTTTTGTAAATATAGATCAGATGACTATTCGTCATCTATAGGTTTATTGCGTACGTGATTTTCATTTACAGACACTGACTTCCACTGGACACGGACCACTGCGGTGGCTTAGTGGTGAGAGCGTCAGACTCGGATGCGGGAGGTTGCAAGATCGATCCCCGGCCGAGTCATACCAAAGACTATTAAAGAAATGGTCTTATAACTGCCTCACTTCGCGCTCAGCATTAAGAAGTTAGTATTAGCACTGGTTGGTCTTTTGTCAGGATAATGTGAATGGGTGGGACATCATGCTACATGTCTGTGGCATGATGCCCCAGTATTAGATATCACTATAAACTCTCTCACACACACACACACACACACACACACACACACACACACACACACACAGCGTCCTAGACACTGTTTATACTGTCGAGATTAGTATATGTTGATTGGTCTATTTCTCATTTTTTCTCATTTTTTCATGTTACGTATATGTAATTTAAATACTTTTGTATTAGTTTTAATTTTCTTTCATTTTATTTTTTATTTCATTAAATGTTATTGTAATGATGATTTTAATAACTGGATTTGTTTGGGTTTTTTTTGAAAATTAATTTCTCTGTTTTGACCTGATAAAGAACGAAATTCGATTGCTACATATTTTAGCTGACCTTGATTCAGAGATTGGTAAACACGAAGTGAAAATCATTGGTCGTTACCAAGATCATGTTCGGCCCACGTGTTAGCTCATTTGTAAACAAGCTTTTTCAAATTCATTTTCAGTGTGGGAATCACTTATTCTTAGCTAAGGCTATTCTAGCCTATGTGCTAATGAACTTGTAATAAGTGACCACGTGACCCATCACGAGGTTTTGAAATTGCTTTCATAATGATGTTTAATACTGAAAATTCAGTGTTTCTGAGTCAATTGTAAATATATTACTTCGGAATGATTGTATTTTGTCTTGTTGCTGCCATTTGAGTTGACTTTTGTACTTAAAATAATTTATTCAGCCTAGAAAATACGTGTGTTCATTATATTCTTTGACAAAGACATTCAGTGGAACTACTTTGGAATTATAAAGCCGTAATATTATTATTGATTCATAAAAAATTCAACAAGGAACTGTTGACCATTCAACACAATGTGGATTATAGAAGGCGTCATCGCTTTCTATATAACTTCACCGGAATTCGAACATGGATTTATTTAGAACTTTTTAGTGATAGGACTTATATTTTTAGATTCCAGGATTACAATTTTGGGTTATATTCACAAACTGAGTCCTTTTCACATTTTTACCTTTTTCTCTAGGGAAATAAATAATTTTTGTTAAAATTTGCAAAGCTTGTTGGCTTCACTCTTTTCTTTGTTACTTTTGAATGAGCCGAAACACTAAGGTTCATGATAAAACTGTTTTGAATTTCTGCTGCAGTCTCTGCTTGTAAAAACTGAAAAGTCCCAACGCCAGTCCGGTGTACGCATGGCACTAACACAACCCTCCCCATTTTCAATTATACATGTATATTGTTTATCAGATATTTCAGATTCTAGCTGTATAATTCAGAATTATCAACCTGACACACACATAGCTGTGATAGCACCGCAATGTCCACACTCACTTTGTATCTATGCAACCCATAGGTCCGTCCACAATAAATATAAGTACAAAGCGAGACCCTAAGCTATGGGAAGCTATAGAGGCCATATTTGGTATAAAATAAATTTGAGGGGCCCCTTCAGACTGAGTTCAGAATTTGAGGCCTTAAGCTGTAGCTTGTTTAGCTTATGTCTAAATCAGGTGCTGTGTACAAGGTTATGAGGTCACCAGTCCAAGGTAAGCTTCTACCTAACGGAAATTTCAGGTCCGGGATTCGTAAAACGTCTCAGCGTTGAGTAAATACTTAGTTAAAGTTTTGCACGATTAATATTCATAAATTACAATTGCATTGAAGCTATTTTTAGGCTCAATACTAACGCACCGACCTTTCATTTGATTAATTGACCTTTCGCTTAATAAAGTTTATGCTCTTCTATTATGAAATGTCACGAGCCTAAAATTTGAACTCAGATTTGCAAAGTATTGATCGCGTATCGCGTACATTTTCCTTGTAACTTGAGGCAGAAATTACTGAACTTCAGAGTTAACTTAATATTATTTACTCCATAATACATGCCCATTTCACGTTTTTTAAAGAAATGCAAATAGGGTCTCATGTTTTGACGTCTTAAATCCAAGTTCAATAAAAGTGCTCATAGAGTTTCATCACAACGGGACGTAGCCTCAGTTTATCAAACAAAATTTAAATTTAGGTTCAGATTCAAACCAGACATCAGATTAGCTGAAATTTATGTCTGACTTAAAATTGTTCAATCAAGCTTGTATTTGACTAAAATAACTTTAATTTGAACTTAAACTGAAAAATGGAACCCACAGATCTGACTGAAATTTAAGTCTGATATGACTGATCAATTAATTACCTAAGCTTAGCTTTAAGGCTCGTGTTGTTAAAAGCGGGACAATTTATCCAAAGTCTAAACTTAAATTTACTACTTATGTCTTAACTTTTGAGATTTATGTTAGTGAAGGGGGGAGATGGAGGACGGCAGATGTGACGTTTTGCCTTAGGGATTATTCTAGTGAAATTGGACATGGTTTCCTCCGCCGACATATATACAGAGCACAATACTCCAACATCTGAACGATCGACATCATTTCGAATAAGTTGATGAATTTGTTGTGCATGAAACTCGCAATGAAGAAAACTAACGATGCCCGATTTGATCTAAGATGACCCGTCAGCTGAAATCAGGGTATCAGCCAAGTGTGCAAGGGCTGTAAGGGCATTTAATCAAGATTCTGGATCAGATTGATGCCTTCTACAAACATTTATACCAATTCTGTCGATTGTATATGTTATGAAAATAACTGATTCAAGGTTTTTCTTTTTTGTATCATCGTCCATATGCAATGTGACGTCATCACAATTTCTCCTATATTTACAAGCTTTTCTACCATGATATTTCCGATCAAAGTTGATCAAACTAAGCTGACCGGTTATGCAAGGTTTTTGTATTTTTGTTTCTGATTTTATACTTGCTGCATCATTTGTATACACTGACAGTTGAAAAGCGGAAGCTTGGAAGCTTTCTGTTAAATTTGGTCACATTCGGTCCAAGTATTTTTTGTGGTGTTTTTGTGCCTTTTGTAAAGGAAGATTTGCTAAAGTTTGTTGTTTGTAATATTAGCCGCATTTGATGGCGTATGAGCATTTTTGTACTCAGTTAAAATTCAGTATGCTCTTTATCAATTTCGTCAGATACTGTTGAGTTGTTTCTAAGTGAGGTTTTAGTTACAGCAGCCATATTTGATGGCAAAATAGCATCATTTGTATACGTTGAAAGTTTATCATAAAATAATGTCTTCTGTCAATTTTGGTTTGTATTCTATTTGCGCGGTTCGTGAAAAGAAGTAAATTCAAGATTTTTGTTATTTTTAACAACAACGGTCATATTTGATGGCTAATTCATATTATCTGCAACAATTTATAAATTCGTGATTTCTGTCAAATTAGGGTCAAATTCTACAAAACAAATACGCAAAAAGTTGTTTATTGATATTTTATTTTCCTATTCATACCTTTACGCCAGTATACTTTCTTTAAAATTTTGGACCAATGTTGTTGAGTCTTATTTTGAGAAAGAAACCAGAGATGTTATATGTTATACGTAGGACACGTAGTATCAGCACATTTTGTAACGTGTCACAGCACTTGTACCAGGACGCTTTTTGTTAACAAAATCTTATCAAGTAGTTTAAAACTTTTTAAATATTCACATCCATATGTGACTTTTATAGTGCATGTATCTTAACTGTATCTGCTTATCATTTTGAATCCAATCTGTCATATGTAAAACAAGGATTTTCTGCTTTACACTGAAATATGTACGAAAGAAACTTGATGATACCAGGAGTTAAGTAGCTTTTCATGCCAACATGTACTAGGAACCATTTTATATGGTGAGATTTGTAACAAAGCAAACATTAAAGTGTCATGTTTCTAATTAAAAGAGTTTGCATGAAATCCCGGAATCATCATTATCGACCAACAGTTTTTAAAAGAATTGTATTTGTACATCACGATCTCACTGCAACTGTTACCGTTGTTGAGACCGGAAGTATATCTTGGTGTCTTCTGTTTACTTGGCACTACAGTTTTTCATTCTGTTACATACTTCACGTATATTTTCCATATATAACTCTGACAAAAATAAAGATTTCTGCGAAATAAAAGAAGACTTCTGCGAAATCTACTTTGTTTATGTACGTTTCAGTCTAGTTTACACGATGGTGGCTCCCTCTGGTGTACGGTCATGAAAGAGGTATTTCGGTCCTTTATAGGAAGATATTCGTTATATGGAGGAATTAAATTTTTTTTCTCTATATTCTTGAATCCCAATGAGTACAGACAGCCTAATCCGTCTCAAAGGTCACATTTATTATTTACCGATCTGTAGTAGGGTAGAAAACCTTTGTCATGTCTGACTTAACCAACTATTTACAATTTTAACCTGTCAATTAGTTCTCAATACTAGCAACCATATTTAAACTAACACGTGACCTTTTTATTTTTAATAATTACAAATAAAATTTGAACAAAAACATCCGTATAGGAAACACACAGATCACTTAATCCAGGCATTTGCAACTCCTTCAAGGCGAGGGCTGGATAAGCGTTTTTTTTTTTTTTTATAAAGCCACAACTTATGATGTAAATAAGAAGGTAAAGCCAGGTAGCGGGACGTAAGTTGAACATGCCTGACGCATTATGTACTAATCGGTTTTAACCAGTTTGCTGAGATAAATAACTTTTTAAACAAAATTATATTATATACAGAGAAGAGGTCCCGACCCTCTTACTGCCACAAATGTCCAGGCATATTTAAAACAACAAGAGCAACAACAACAACAACAACAACAACAACAACAAGAAACAAAACTTAAAAAAATTATATACGTTTTACTTCATTTAAGATTTTGGAACTAGCTTTACCCGTTTTCGAAAACAAATCACTTTAATTGGAGCACATGTATAAATAGTCCTTTGGATGGGATACAAAACCCTGATGATTAACACAGTGGCATAGCTAACATAGTTGGGCCCAATGCAACCTTACCAATGG